CCAACTGTTGTGGATTTCATAGACTGGTGCCAAGTTTCTGTTTGACCTCCGCTAGCTCTTTTCCAGCCTGACCCTATATCCGCTAACATTGCCCACTGTCGAGGAAGGCGATGGCTTGGCATACGTAACACATGTCCTAACCATCTCAGTCTTTGTAGCTTCACGACTTCGTCGATAGATTTCCCCTTTATAGACTTTGAGAAGGCCTTCGACAGCGTTGATCGTGAAGTAATTTGGAAACTATTCGAGTACTATGGCGTACCCCAAATATTCATCAACCTCATTCAACAGCTGTACGACAACGGCACATGTCAAGTGATCCACAACGGAAAACTCAGAGAGGCGTTTGGAGTAAACACAGGCTGGGGTCAGACAAGGGTGCTTATTATCACCAATGAATGATATTCCTAATTGTGGTGGACTGGATTATGCGTCGTCAGACACTGGGGAACGAGAAGACAGGAATATCCTGGACCGACGTTAAGAATCCACAAGACCTGGATTTCGCGCGTGGATGATTTATGTTTGATGTCACTGTCACAAAATCGAAGATTTACAAGCGAAAACCGACCGACAAACTGGTCGAAGAAGCAGCCGGCGAAGACAGGACTCCGGGTGAACATAGACAAGACGGAGGTCATGAAAATAAACAACCAACAACAACATCCAGCGTTAATCACCATCAACGGAAGGGATTTGAAAGGGGTCACTTCATTCACTTATCTAGGGAGGGAGCATTGTTTCAACTACAAGAAGTCAGAACCGACGAGGATGTCAGATCGAACGAGAATCGGGAAGGCGAGAAACACATCAACATCATCAACCTGAAACCAATCTGGAAATCTTCGTCACCCACCCAGCATCAACAACAAAATTCCGTCGGATTTTCAATACAAACAACGTCAAGTCAGTCAGTTCTTCTATACGGATCAGACAGAAACTTGGCGGGCGAGCGGGTCACAAAGAATATTTACAACAGCCCGCTGCATACCTTTATCAACCAACAACTGTCTTCGCTGGCTCTATACTGAAGATCAGATGACCGGGACGGAAAGAATCACCAACAAGAAACTCTGACTGGGAACAAACAAAACAAGAACCAACCGCCAACCAAGAAATATGCAGGAGAAAGTGGAGATGGATCGGACACTCGCTCGCTGAGGAGGCCGCCGCTGGGTGACATCGCGCGCGCGTCAGGCCATTGCTCAAGTGGAACCAGGCCGAAAGGAAAGCACGCGGCGAGTGTGTCGTCAGTACAAGGGTGACATGGAGGAGATCGTGTGAAGAGGAGTTGAAAGAGTATGGACTAACATGCATGGATGCAGGTGAAAAGTACAGCAGAAGGAATACAGCAGTGGCAAGTGGAGACGTGCAGCTGAAGCCCTATGTTCCACTAGGAACCCAAGGGAACAAGAATAATAATAATAATTAGTGGATTTATCAATAAAAGACAATAAGATGGGAAATAAGATGTATTTTACAGTAAAACTAAGTAACTTGTTAGACTGTTATAATGTATGTGAATTGATGAAATACATTTTAACATTATTTCTCATCCTCCTCTGATTTGACTGATGGTAATAATATCTTCCATATCTATGATATTTGCGTTGAGTCACTTCTGTTGCATGTGTTGGGTGTAGGTAGGGAGACACGAAGAATTAGGCAGAATTCAGTAATCAATCTCTTTCGCTCTCCACCTACCTATATTACTCTCTAAAATCTTAACTCTGTCCCACCCACCAAGCTATTGTGTGGTTGTGTGTTAATGCATGCAGTGCGATTGCTGAGCATTTTCCTTACTACATTACTTATCTTCGTGGGGTTAATCATTCTAACCTTAGCTAAATTCTTATATTCTGAAAGGCAATCTCACTACTCCTGATCTACTAATTTGACTGACCTATGTGGGGTTGACTTAACACTCACATAGTCATTGCAAGGTATTTTGTAAATTTTATATTATTTTTGGTTGAATTGGGTCCACCGGGTCCTTTAGCCCACAAAGCTTGTCCTACCTGAGTGAATGAGTGAGTTTGAAGGTTCGAATGTGGCTCTAATTCCTGATCTATTAAGAAACCTATCCAGTAGTCTCAGATGTATTTCAATTCACATTATGCCATTCTAACAAGTTGACTTTTGTGAAATCTCAGCGAAATTGATTGATTGATTGATTGATTGATTGATTCCAACGTTTATTTCACGTTTAACGACGAACTGATATCACATTTAGAAAACCATTGAAATCCAGGAAGTACTGGAGAGCGCGAGTCTTGTCTTAAACGACAGTTGTAATTTCATTGATCTTCAATAAATCACAATTGTATTCAAGTGTTGGTTTGTAGGGATTCGATTGGTCCTGAGTTCGAATCCCAAAGTGGGTGTGTACTGATGAAGAGTCCAAAACTAGCCTGACGAAATAGCTTTCCAGTACTCCAAGGCTTTCCAATGGTTCTCTAACTAATGTCAGCTCATGATGAAATCCTGAAATCGATTGTATTTAAAAAAACACCAATATTGTTTAATCACAATTATTCGAGTATATTCTGTAGGTGTAAATATAAATATATATCCATAATTGTGTAGAGCCAGAAGAGGAAATTGTCGATTAGAATATTCTTTTGTCTTCGAAATGTCTGAATGAATATTATCGTTATGTTTCATCTTAGTTAAACATTCATCAACAGTACGCGCCTGCCCACCAGTGTTCGAGCCCACGACCTCTAAGTTCTAAGGAAAGCTCGTAGACCATTCTGTCTGTCTCTGTCTGTTTTCGACATAGAACTTTGCACAAATGTGCGGCACTTCAAGTCGCCACACTCCCTCCATGTAGCACACAAAGCAAGAGAAGAAAGTACAAGAAAAGCATAATAGAAACAGTGAGCAGAGGGGTGAGACAAAGGAGGAGTAATAAAGAAAAACAAAACAGTTTCATTGGAGATCATAAGTCACAAGGAGTGGATGCATCTGCGTTAACCACTGAGAACGATTTTGAGCCATGTCACCAATTGTTTCCAGCAGCCATTGGTTTTTTACCATCCCGAGGACCCCAACCAAGAAGCCAGTCTACACCTTCCTACGTGGCTTAGACTAACTGTTGTAGATTTCATTGACTGATGAAGCCATGTTTTGGTTTGACCACCGCTAGCTCTTTTCCAACCTGACCCTATATCCGCTAACATTGCCCACTGTCGAGGAAGGCGATCGATGACTAGGCACACGTAACACATGTCCTAACCATCTCAGTCTATGTCACTTCACAACTTCGTCGATTGATTTCCCCTGTTTACCTAGAACTCGACCGAAACTTAACCTCAATATTGCTCACCTTATTATACCACTTCACACGGGAGATAGAACGCAGGTACCTATGATCAAAGACAGCTAGCCAGCCTTTTGATGTCTTCCACTCTCAGTGGCCAGGTCTCACAGACAGTCATAAAGGAGGACGGAGTGGACTGATGAGCAGTACACCCGCCCTTTGGTGGATAGTCGAATATCTTGTCTACGCCAAAGATGGCGTAAACTGGCATATTTGAAACTAGCCCCCTGTATCCGTGCTGAGATTTCGTCAGACATCAACCCGTTGGCACTGGCTGATGGTACTTCCAAATAAGTGAAGCGGTCAACGTGCTCTATCACTTCACTTCCTATTTCTAAACTAGGAGTCGCTGTAGTCCAGTCCTGTAACATCATCTTGCATTTGGCGGGAGAGAATCGCATGCCAAACATCCGTAGATTGCAGCTCAAGGTGTTTAGAAGATTCTGCCTCATTTTGTCAGCGTCTTCGCCTAGGAGGACTATATCGTGTGCATATTCTAAGTCAACGAGATTATTCCCTGATGGTAGCAAGTCAATCCCTGAGTCGCTGAAGTCACTTAGGGTTAAGTCCATTAGTACATCTATGATGAAGTTGAATAGAAATGGGGATAATGGACATCCTTGACGGACACCACTAGTCGTCACCAGTTCAGATGAAAACTCGCCGTAAGCCCTCATCTGGCTGCATGAGTACGAGTAGAGTGCCTTAATCAGTGTAATGTATTTTCTCGGCATACCCTTTACAGCCAAGCATCGCCAGAGAACTTCTCGGTCGATAGAATCGAATGACGCCTTTAGGTCAAGGAATATAATGATTGTAGACCATTCAGCCGCCCCTCAATGACCAGCACACTGGTCACGACCTCTCCCCGGAACTCTTATCAGATAACTTCATCTTGTGGCCAATCATTTGCAAGTATCGACCGTTCGAACCCCGGTGGATGCATATTGCCCATGAGTCCCAAACTAGGACGAAGCAACTAAGTGTGTCCAATACTCCAGTACTGGTTTTCAATGACTCTGTAACTAATATCCATCTCTGACCAGACTTGATATAATTTTTATACATAGTTTCATCTGGCTGAAGTCTGCGGGTGCATACAAAACCTCCAAATACATTTTGTGTATAGATCGCGACCTTCTTCCTGCTGCCGTGTCACAGGACAGGAGTGATAAATATGCTACTGAGACACACCAAACATTAACGAACAAACAAAAGCAGGCCGCATGTGACCGGCCTCAAGCAGTTGTCCCCTGGGCTCTGCGGTCACGCAACCAACTTTCACGGTGTGGGCAGCTGGGAAGTAACAATCGCACTCACAATTCGAAATACACACGAAACCTCTCTAATACTCACTCATCTTTGTCTTCATCTTCATCTCTATCATCTTGCCCTTCTTCCACTGATGCAACTCCTCTGTTTGATAGCTCCTCACTTCCTCTCCACTCTATGTCCAGTAAAAACGACGGAAGCCAAAAAACCACCACCAATAGTCTTCTAAAGCCACGCCACCAATTTCATATAGGAGCATTTAATGTTAGGACACTGCCAAATAGGACAACAAGCATCACTAGCCAAGACTGGCGTCCCGAACCATTGATATATGTATGTGTGTATAGAAAACGCGGTAGGAGAACACAATTATACTCTTTTCAAGAGAAAAATATCATCAACTTACCACTTTGAGTCGATAATACCCGAAGATCTCCTGCTCCTTCGTCTGTTGGAATTCCTTCACAATGATCATTTCTTTCAGGTGTACTAGCCGGCTCCAAATTGTCTACTATCTTAACATTGGATAATTTTCCATACTTCAAGAAATCGCACATATTCTTCAACACTCTTTTATGTGAACGTTTCAGCTGGAAGTTTAAAGCATCACATTGAATTGTGTATGATGGGCAACAGGTGACTTTATTCAAAGGTTTGTAACAATAAGTCCCTGAACTTTAATAACGGTTATATAAAAAAAATCACTTGATTCAAATTACCGACGCCAGCCACGATCAATCAAATATTGATAGTCCGATACAGTGAGTTGTTCAGCTGTCATACCTGTCATCACATCATAAGAAAGAAGAAATGATGATGATGAAATAATGCATCACTTTGATCAACACATCCCGATACCAAAACCATCTTCTGGTACTGATATTAAATTTAGGCCTATTGCAATTACTTCTCCCTTTTTAAAATTGATGGAAAAATTACTCTTACTTCGTCTTGAACCCTCATTGAAACCTTGTAATGATCCTAAACAATTTGCATACAAACATGGTAGAAGTACCTTGGATGCTGCGGTTGTCTTATATCACAATGTTGTTTCTTGTTTAGACAAAGGTGCCAAATATGTTCGTAGTGCTTTCTTAGACTACACATCTGCTTTAGACTCCGTACCTAGGGGCCTTTTATTAAATAAGCTATCGTTGACACAAACAGGATCCTGGGTTAAGAGTTGGTTGTATTCCTATTTTTCTGATAGAATGCAGTATACTGTATATAATAGCAAATCTTCTTCTACCTCGCTTACGAAAGCCGGTATTCCTCAAGGTGCCGTCCTCTCTCCTTTTCTTTTTTCTTTCTCCCTACACGACCTGCCTCATTTAAACGAAACTAACTTTGTCAAATATGCAGATGATCTGACTGTATCACTCACTGCCTATCACTTCCGAGTCTGACTGCTCCAAACTCAATAGCTTTCTGTTGGACGTCAACAAGTGGTCTAAGTCAAATGGTCTTATGTTAAATCCTTCCAAAGTCAGGCAGTTAACTTTACTTTCAAGCATCGACGTGACTTACATGAACTAGTTAGTTCCCATGATGCCTGTAGCATAGATGGCACTGAAATTGAAACCAAGTCAAGCATTAAATACCTTGGATTAGTTCTTTCCTCTGACCTTTCATGGTCACCCCACATCTTATCAATCTCTAAGAAAACGTTTCATCTTACCTTCTACATTAAAAAGTTTAGACAATCAGGAATCAGCCAATCTTTAGTTTTGCAGTTTGTAAACTCCTGTATTTTACCTATTGTACTCTATTGCTCTCCATTAATCTTTCCTGGGCTTCTCAAAAAAGACTATATCATATTACGAGGGGTACTAAATGCTGTGAGTAGGGCTTGTAGTCTGCCACTACAAGAGTTCATCAATACTATAGTCGAGAGACACATTCCTGTACTGAAATGGGCAAAAGCTATACTGTCAGACCCTCTGCACCCCCTTTATTCACAACTATCCCCTTGTATCTCATCAGGTAGGACAAGAAGTCCATATAAAAAGTTATATGCTCGTACCATTAAGTACAGAAATTCTACAATACCCTATTTAGCCCGTAATTTATGTGACGAAGACTCTGTTAGACGTGAAACACATTAGTTACTATGTAATTAGCACAGTAAATCGACCCTTTCATTGTTCATCTTTCTGTATTATATGGTGTCACCCTTTCTATCGTTTAATTATAACTCTGCTATTTTATTTTAGTTGCTATTACTATTATTACTATAATTTTATACTTTATGTATATTTTTCTCCGTATCGCATACTGTAATTGCTACATAGCTGCTATAACAACGTTTCGTTATAATTATTATGTGTTTATTTTTTTGTCGTTTTCTGAGTAAATTAGATGCAATACTGTGCTGAATGCTGAAAATTCCTTGCTGTATCATTAGTACTGTTTTTGGAATAAAGCAATTATTATTATTATTAACACACACACATACCCCATGTTGTTTTTTGTTCATCGGTATTTTGTTGTTTACAATAGCCACATTTTCCTGAAGAATGAGAACCATGTGGAATAACTAGACTAGGCGTGTTTGGAAATTCCATTTTCCTATATGAAAATCAGACCTAGTGAAAGAGAGAGAATTTGCACATGAATCGATAAAAAGTCATAATGATGATGATGAGTACATGCGTTGAAATACGTGATAGTTAACGAGGTCAAAGCTACGAAAAACAAGGTGTATTTGAAATATGGAGGTTGGGGGGTGAGGGTGGGGTAAAATTAAAGCATCTGACAAGACAACAGTATTAAATAAAATCCGATCTCACGTTAACTATTCAACGGGCAATGAGGAAACAGGCATAAAATGGACTCACACACAAAATCAATTTGGAGGATTTCGACTTCGCCGATGATATAATATTTGTGTCTGATTTCCCACAAACTGAAAGATATGCAAGTGAAAAGCAACAAGTTGGCGATAGAAGAAGCATCAAAGATAGGAGGAACTTCAAGTGAACATAGAGAAAACAGAGGTGATGAAGATTCCTGGCCAACAGCAACAGCAACAACAACCGAAAGCCAACATTCACTGGGCAATACACTAACTTCAACAGTTAGGTACCTTTAGGGAGAAAGAGAAATCTTATTCATTCCTTATGCTCCAGAATTCGTAAAATCTGCTCTGCAGAGACAATCGATAGGGAACTAGATAACCTTCGATCAAATCTCCTTAACAATGGTTATCCTACTAGGTTCATTGAACGTAACATCAAGCAACAATCCGCCCCGAGACAAGCCACAGTACCAAAGAAAAAACTGTTTATGAGTCTTGCATTCAAAGGTGATACCATTTCAGAGTTGATTAAAAATCGTTTATCTGAATGTAGCTGAACACTATCCGGTTTGGTTAATGAAAGGCGAACGTAGAACTGCAAAGTCGTCTATTTGTGATCACCTGTTAGAGTCTGACTATTCAGCCCCACGTGATTCATCCTTCAAAGTTATCTACATGGCAAAATCGAATCGAACCAAAAGTTTACGTTTTCTTCACTAATGCAAAGCTAGCCGAAGCTTTAGCTATACATGAACAGAAACCTAAATTATGTGTTCAAAAACGTTTTGTCAAACCCCTTTCTTTACCCTGGGTCTAAGTAATGTTCTTTTTGTGTTTTTATTTTATTTTACCACTTGAATTCATTCCACTTCACTTCACATCTTCATTCTTATAGTAATCGCACTGCTAATTTTCAAAATTTTTAGACAACACTTGACATTTCTGATATCAATTCACTTATGAAACAATCTTTAATATTTTTGTAATTTATCCACTTCAACTCTACCCCTTATAACATTGTAATTATCGTTACTTTTATCACATATATACGTACATTGACTGAGCAATTATTTAGTGCCACTTAATAACCTTTTTCTGTAATATAAGTACGACTGTACAGCTTGAAAATGAAGTCGTTGAAAAGAAATTTCTTCGCTGAACAAAAAACTGTGTTTTTACTTAACAACAACAGACAACAATCAGCCAGCATGAATGGGAGGAACCTGAAACAAACAACCTCCTTCACCTACCTAGCTGGGAAGCATCGTTTCAACTACAGGCCAACGGAACTGACGAGGATATCAAAGCCAGAATCAAAAAAGCAAGACAAGCTTTCATTACTCTCACCAAATCTGCATCAAAAATAACATCCGGATTTTCAACTCCAATTTGAAGTCACTGCTAATCATTATACGGATCAGAAACTTGGCCAGCGCGTCATAAAGAGCATCCCAAACAAACTTCAGACCTTCATTAACAGTTGTCTTCACTCAATGCTAATCAAGATCAGATGGCCAGTCAGAAAAGATCAATAACAGGGATCTCTGGCAATGAACGAACCAACACAGCAGGAACCGATTGTGAAACAAATAGGCAGGAAGAAATGAAGTTAGATGGATTGGCTGGCCATACGCTGAGGAAACCATCAAGTGAGTGACATCACTAGACAAGCTATTGCTCTAGTGGAACCTGAAAGGGAAGCGGCGCAAGTTGGTCGTGAGTGCAAGAGCGACTTGGAGGAGGTCATGTGAAGAGGAGATGAAAGCATGCAGATGTTCAGAAGTTAAATTTGCCACACTCCCTGAATTTAGCATACATAACAAGAGAGAGATAATGTCAGGCAAAAAAAGAATAGTAGTAATATGGAAGAAGAAGAATAGAATTTTATTAGATCCGTAGAATCACAAAGAGTAAATACGTCTACGCAAGCCATTGACAACTATTTCCAGCCATTTCACCGATTGTCTCCAGTCACTGGCCATTAGTTTTTACCGTCCCGAGGACACCAACCAGTCAGGAAGTCAACACCTTCATACGTGGCTGACTGGCTTAAACTCACTGTTGTGGATTTCAGTGACTGATAAAGCCAAGTTTTTTTTTGTTCGATCACAACTAGCCTACTCTTTTCCAACCTGATCCATCCAATGCCGCCAGTCAGCTAGCACTGACCGTCGAGGAATGCAATGGCTAGACATGCTTGAGTAACACATGTCTTCATCTCATCTCAATCGGTGTAACTTCACAACCTTGCTAGCTAGGTCAAGGTGATCTAAACATCGGACGTGTGTTCCGCTCGTTGGGTAACTAATTCACAAACAGTGAAATCGATGATACGGCATCATCAGGTCGCCAAAGTAGCTAATCAGAAATCAGGTGGTTTGAACTGATTCGGCTCTCTGAAGTGAGTCAAACGGGATACACCACCTCTGATGAGCTCAACCTCCAACAAGCGAAACCGCCATCTGGTGCTTGGATCACTCCGATTTGGCTACTAAGCATTACTTGTTGATGTGGTGAGCGGTATACAACTACTTATTTCAATAAATCAGTAGTATATAGTTTACGCATTTATGCTCACTTGCTTGATTACCATTGGTGGTAACAAGTGGATCATGTAGTGTAATCTGGATAATTTTAGTTTCCAGAGTAAACTGCGGTGAAACTCCCCACTCCCCGCGAACTGCGTAAATTGCAAGCTGATACCTGATGTTCATATTATGAAGGTTGATTCTTCTTCAGGTACCTGAAACAGAAAGTGTTGCGTGACCAAAGAGCCCAGGGGACAACTGCTTGAGGCCGGTTACAAACGGCCTGTATGAACTGGTTTCTTGATCTGGTTCCGTATTAGTAAACTTACCGCAGGTAACGAACCACCGTAGGGTAAGTCAGGATGTACAATTGTTGGGGTCGACTTTTTCTGACCAACCCCCCGCCTCCAAAGTGGAGAGACAGCATAGCTGGCTGGCATGCTGGTCACATCTGAGGCAAACACCTGACTGCTGTTACACTCCTATTCCCCAGCAGTACGACTTCGCCCACAGACCCCCAACATAGCGTAAAAACATTCTCACACTAAGCCGGTAACTAACTGCTTTTAGTATAATCGCTATTCTTACAACCTTCCTGGTATCGTAGGACCTGCAGGAACAATAGTTCCAGCCAGTGTGTAGCTTGTTGGGTCATTGCGATGTGCAAGCTCGACCATCACGTCAAGGTATCAGCTATCGGTCGGGCATTTTATCAAGGATAGGATTAACATTCACACAGTGTCAGATTAACAACCATTATCTGAAAAGTTTTAAGGACAGTGATTGAGGTGCCACTGGAAGTCTCTACGTCAAGAGTTGTCTCCACAGACTAGTTTTTATGACTTAACATTTCGGAAGTTGAAAAAGCCAACCTTGTGATAACTGCAACAAAAAGTCAATTTTACGAATTTTATTTCAGTGATTTCGAAATCAATAAAGACGTGAAGATAGTACGACGTGTAAGACCTCTGGTCTAGGTGCATTGTCGCGCTTTTCTTGGGATCAATTTCCAGAATTCAGAGGTTAGCCCATTCAGCTAATTTATCTAGATCGTTTTATAGTACCAATCTATTATCGTTATTATTTACAGTTTTCCGTATCTTAATAACGACAGAATAACGTCCTCAAATAATAAGGCAGATGAGGTAAGAATTTTCGGCCATTCATTTACATACAGTGGGAGTAGCAGGTGTCCAAGTACAGTTCTCTGAGGTACTCCAGTCAGTACTGATTTTCACCCTGACAGTACACCATTAACCCTTCTTTATCTTCTGCCTTCTATCCATCAGGTAATCGCCAAACCACTCACATACGAAGGAGTCGGCTTAATCCAAAATGTTTGAGTATACTGGGAAGACCTGAGTGGGACACCTTATCGATAAATACAACGTCAAATAGGCGGTTCTTATCCCTGGCTTCGACTCAATCTTCCCTAGCTAACAGTAAGTTTGTCAGACAGGATCGTCCTGGTCAGAGTCCGTGTTGTTCCACCGCCAGTAAGCCATGTTTCTCCATATGAGCGAAGAGCTGATCCCTTATGAAGGTTTCTAATTCCTTTGTTATAATGCAAGTGAGGCTTACAGGCCGGTAGTTAGATACCAATTGCATGTTCCCCTCTTTGAAGATGGGGCATACAAAAGCATCTTTCCGGCCCCTGAGTAGCCTGGCTAGCCTGGGTCAGAGACATTTGAAGCGTCACCGTAGGTGAAATGTATATTACATCCTCCAAGGAGACTAGCAGTCTTCGGTGAAATCCATCGGGTCCAGGCGATTTACCTGGCTTCACTTCGGACAGGGAAATCATACTGACAGGGCTCGAATGAGCACTTGTGCAGCATATAGATGCAGCAACACGATACCACCGTGATGAACATGTTCTGTCCACCCTAGATTTGGTGCTAACACACCAGTGGGAGGATGTCGGTGACTTTAGGTGCCTGGTGCCGCTAGACAGTAGTAACCATATAGTTATCACTCTTACGTTTAGGATTCAGGCTGTCATATATGGGCCAACAGTTGCTCGAATATACCTGAAATCAGAAATGCAGCAACCCTAGCTGACTGCTCTGTTTATACACACCAGATTTTCGAGGAAGCTTGGATGGAATTTAGAAATATACTAGGTTGCATGACTGCGCCCTTTGTACTTTGGTCTACGCCTCGAAAACTATTGCATAAACTACCTTGGATTAGTAATGAAATAAGGAGGTTATTAAGAAAACGAAAGAAATCATGGGAC